TATCTTGGGCACTTTTAAATATCTAAGCCCAATAAGAGGAATGTTGAACCTTAACTCCTAAATGGAATTTCTTCTCATTAAGATGTCATAATTCTTCACAATAAAGGCCATTTAGAATGCGATTAACAATAAATATAAATAGATTTGATTCCTTTAACTTAAGAATTGAGAATCTCATAACTCAAATGAGATAGATCTGTCAAGCTAGAAATGACAATAAACCATTGTTATAAAGTGAAGGGGCAAATCTCGGCTTGATCATAAGATATTATCACATGAAAGTTGATCTGATGGTCAAGGAGACATTATGGGTTAGGAGAAAGATGAGATCTCATGGCATTGTAGTAATCTCAGCGGGTGCAACGCATGTAAGAGATGGAGGATCTCTTTAATGGTTTTTGCATTTATTAAACTTGATCTTGAGATGTTTATCCCATCATTAGGGGAAGAGAGGCAAATGAAAGTTGTGATGTCCTTAATTTATAGAATGATTCATTATCAGCATGAGGTACAAAATGATTCCTTTGGATTTTGTATATTTCACTTCTTTTCTGTCATGAAGAGGCATTGGTATAATATAAATGAATTATCATTAATGATTAGTAAGTCAACAAAGGTAGAATTTGATCCATATCTAACAATAAGACAATAAATATAGAATGTATCTAACTTGTTGAGCATATCAATATAGAGTGATATTGTTAACTTAGATTTGTTTTAATGAAAAAAAAAAATCACACATGAAGAACTAGAAAAGTACACTGTTTTTATAAATCAATTTTTTTTCGCTAGCTATCCAATATTTTATGGAGTCTTTCTTTTAAAAAAGTAACTCTCAAATCTCTAATCGCAACAAATAGAATTGTTGAAATCTTCCTCTTACATCCTCTACAATTATTATGACATCTTTTTATGATGATAGGGAATGTTACATCGAACAAGGATTGAACTTGAATCTAAATTATGAGTTATAAGAATATCACTTTAATGTCAACACCAATTTTGTAGACCCCTGAATCTACACAAACCTCGTAGTTGTTTGACAAGAACAGCAAAAATTATAAATACTTTTTTCTCAAGATAAAATATACCTAAGACTTTTAATTTCCTTAGTTCTTCCAGGCCTCAACTTCTCTTTGTAGTATCCCAATCTTCTAAAGAGTTGTTTCTAACATTGTACTCTAATGAGTTATGTTATCAACTTTAAGTAACCAATTTCTTGATCATATATGTCTTACAGTTAAGCCTTTTGATTTTGTGAATCAAGCCATTGGAGAGGGAACAACTCAATTCCATCTTTTTAGAGATGCCATTTTTTCTAAAAAAATTACATGTTTTAATAAATATATTCGATAAAGTATCTTAGAGTTACTACAAGTTGCCATAAATCTCAACTCCAATAGTTAGTATTCATTGGATTGATCCTCTTAGCCGAACAATATCTTATAAGA